CAAGTGGCGGGGTGAGAGGAAAGGAGAAGGTATTAAAAAGATGCCTGGGATTGCGGGAGCATGAGCTAATGAGGGAGGAAAAGTATGACTGTTTGACAAATGCAAGGGCTGTGGTGTATGAACGCAACATGAATTTGTAGTGGAGGAAGTCCGACTGGGTGCATGACTTCTTCCAGCAGCGTCCAGGGCAGAGGTGAGGGTAGTGTTATATGAGGAGATAGCCAGTGAGGGACAGAAGAAAGTAGGGATGGATAGAAGTTGGAAATCAATATTAGCTGATAGCTGCTGGAGGTCAATATAATTCAGATTTCTTCTTAGTTGAGGGGGGCTAAGTTGAGGATGATGGGATAAGGGGCTATTGAGAGCAAATGATAAGAGGATCTGAGAGAGGAAATGGAGTATTGCAGAGATTAGAGGTTGCACATTGATGAGAGAAAATAAGATCAAGGGTATTGCCAGCTACATGGGTGGGGGACTTAGCCCACTGCGATAGCCCAAGTGAGGAGATCATTAAAAGTAGTTTTGAGGTTACTGAGGTCAAGGGCAGGTTAATGTGAATATTGATGTCCCCAAAAATTAAGGATGGAATATTAGAGGAGAGGAAGTAGGGAAGCCAAGCAGCAAAGTGGTCAAGGAAGAGGACGATAGATAACGGCAATGTTAGCAGAGATGGGTTTGAAAAGGTGCATTGAATAAATTTGTAATGATGAAAAAGAGAGGGAAGGGGGTGGGTAGAGGTTTGAAGGAGCAGTGAGGTGAGAGCAGAAACCCTACACCACTAACTTTGCTTTCAGAGTATTTTGGGTTGTTGGAAAATTACCTTGACTGCCTCAACAAAGGATAGAGAGGCAGGGGTGGTGGTGTCAGAGGTAGAGAGACATATTTCAGTTAAGGTGAAATAATTTGCTTATGGATATTGTTAAATAACAATGCTGGCAGTTTTGGGTTTTTTGCATTTCCCAAACAACGGCAAAATGCAACTGTATCTGTATGTACATAAATAGTACAGTAGATATATTTGGGTTATTTTAAATAAAAGTGTTTAACAAGATGGCATGCAGATCCACTTTCATTGTCTCACATGTTCCCGAGCCGTTGCCCAAGTTGTCCGAGAGGATGTCCAAGCATCATTTTACCAGATGTGGTGGAAATGTGTAAAAATAGCAGACGTTTGGGATGGCGTATTTTTAAATATTTAGTAACATATTGGAGAAACCCATAGCTCCAGATCCAGTATTGGCATTACTAAATAGCATTAATTTCTCCACCCAATTGCTCTCCACATTGATGTCCCTTTGTCTGAAAATTAGTACAACAGGAACTATGCAAAAGGAAGAAATGGAAAGATCTGGGCCGAGTGCTAGGATTAAAGGCAATTTGACTTCACATAACAAAATCTGGCTTCCCTAGAAGGAATAAAGAGACTTTAACCCCTTCAGGAACAATGACGGTCCAGGACCGCCATCAGAAACATCACCTTGAGGACTGATGATGGTCCTGAACCGTCATAACGGAAATTTTTACTTACAGTCTGCGGGGACTGCCTGACAGCCCAGACAGTCCCACCTCAGGAAATTAGGCCCCCACGGCCATGTGATTGCTCTGAAAGTGCATCTGCCTGCAGGGGGACTGCTTGAACTGACAGACAGTCTCCCTGCTGGTGAAAAAAGATTAAAAAAAAATAATAATAAATTGGTAAATAAATACCAATCAGTGTAAAAAAATAAATATATATATATATATATATATATATATATAAATATATATCTCCATATACATAATTACATTAATCATTTCGTAAATATACACGTAGACTTCAAATATATAAACATAAATATATATATATATATATATATATATATACAGGGAGTGCAGAATTATTAGGCAAGTTGTATTTTTGAGGATTAATTTTATTATTGAACAACAACCATGTTCTCAATGAACCCAAAAAACTCATTAATATCAAAGCTGAATATTTTTGGAAGTAGTTTTTAGTTTGTTTTTAGTTTTAGCTATGTTAGGGGGATATCTGTGTGTGCAGGTGACTATTACTGTGCATAATTATTAGGCAACTTAACAAAAAACAAATATATACCCATTTCAATTATTTATTATTACCAGTGAAACCAATATAACATCTCAACATTCACAAATATACATTTCTGACATTCAAAAACAAAACAAAAACAAATCAGTGACCAATATAGCCACCTTTCTTTGCAAGGACACTCAAAAGCCTGCCATCCATGGATTCTGTCAGTGTTTTGATCTGTTCACCATCAACATTGCGTGCAGCAGCAACCACAGCCTCCCAGACACTGTTCAGAGAGGTGTACTGTTTTCCCTCCTTGTAAATCTCACATTTGATGATGGACCACAGGTTCTCAATGGGGTTCAGATCAGGTGAACAAGGAGGCCATGTCATTAGATTTTCTTCTTTTATACCCTTTCTTGCCAGCCACGCTGTGGAGTACTTGGACGCGTGTGATGGAGCATTGTCCTGCATGAAAATCATGTTTTTCTTGAAGGATGCAGACTTCTTCCTGTACCACTGCTTGAAGAAGGTGTCTTCCAGGAACTGGCAGTAGGACTGGGAGTTGAGCTTGACTCCATCCTCAACCCGAAAAGGCCCCACAAGCTCATCTTTGATGATACCAGCCCAAACCAGTACTCCACCTCCACCTTGCTGGTGTCTGAGTCGGACTGGAGCTCTCTGCCCTTTACCAATCCAGCCACGGGCCCATCCATCTGGCCCATCAAGACTCACTCTCATTTCATCAGTCCATAAAACCTTAGAAAAATCAGTCTTGAGATATTTCTTGGCCCAGTTTTGACGTTTCAGCTTGTGTGTCTTGTTCAGTGGTGGTCGTCTTTCAGCCTTTCTTACCTTGGCCATGTCTCTGAGTATTGCACACCTTGTGCTTTTGGGCACTCCAGTGATGTTGCAGCTCTGAAATATGGCCAAACTGGTGGCAAGTGGCATCGTGGCAGCTGCACGCTTGACTTTTCTCAGTTCATGGGCAGTTATTTTGCGCCTTGGTTTTTCCACACGCTTCTTGAAACCCTGTTGACTATTTTGAATGAAACGCTTGATTGTTCGATGATCACGCTTCAGAAGCTTTGCAATTCTAAGAGTGCTGCATCCCTCTGCAAGATATCTCACTATTTTTGACTTTTCTGAGCCTGTCAAGTCCTTCTTTTGACCCATTTTGCCAAAGGAAAGGAAGTTGCCTAATAATTATGCACACCTGATATAGGGTGTTGATGTCATTAGACCACACCCCTTCTCATTACAGAGATGCACATCACCTAATATGCTTAATTGGTAGTAGGCTTTCGAGCCTATACAGCTTGGAGTAAGACAACATGCATAAAGAGGATGATGTGGTCAAAATACTAATTTGCCTAATAATTCTGCACTCCCTGTATATATATTTAAATTCTCTGTGCATATTTATGTAATATTTTTACATAATTAAGTAATTTTCTTGATTGCAATTTGAGGAACCTGCCTGACAACCCAGGCCGAAAGTCCAGATAATTTAATTTGCTAGCACTGTATTTAACCCTGTAACTTTCCATGACACCCTAAAACCTGTACATGGGGAGTAGTGGTTTACTCGGGAGACTTCGCTGAACACAAATATTAGTGTTTCAAAACAGTAAAACATATCACAGCGATGATATTGTCCATGAAAGTGACGTTTATTGCATTTTTGGATAAATTAAAATAAAGAACCAAGGGGAGACTTTAAGGATGAGACAGTTTAGCCCTCACGAGTGTGCCCTCTGAAGGGAGAAGAGCAACCCAGAAATAGAATAAAATGTATTAAAACATAACTTTTAATAAGTATATTCAAATCCAGTGATAGCAGGTCCTATTACGTGCTAGCTTACATGGAAACAAGGACCTGAGCATAAATGTTGCTGAGAAAGAAGGAGGAAGGAAGGGGAAAAGGAGGGCAAAGTAAATAAACAAATATAACCTAACTGCAAACGGCAGGTAACGGGTTAACCAGGGAAGGTAGGAGTAGAGAAAGCACTAATACCTGGTCTCTAAGTAATACCCTACTGTGCCTTTGAGGGCAACCCTTAAAAAATCTAATACTTCAACAGCCTCCCAAGTTCCCAACCTATAAATCACAACTAAAGCAAAGCCCTAATCCTATGTACCCTTCAGTAACACATAGTAAAAAAAAAAAAGGATAAAATAATAATTGATCTAATTATAAAATCTTAGCATGGTGGCTTATCCTAAATAAAAGAAATAGCTGCAGCATCATCCCTAATGATATGCCTAACCACTGCTAACAAAGTCTTGACATGCGTTGACGCGCGTTTCACCAAGTGCTGGCTCTTCCAGAAAGAGCCAGCGGCAAAATGCACATCAACGCACGTCGGGACTTTGTTAGCAGTGGTTAGGAATTAGCCAGTGGTTAGGAATCACAGTGAGAAGACTCGGTACGTCCACAGGATTGAATAATGCTTTCCTATGGGCTGTGTGATGTCGGCAGGAGGAGTAGAGTTCCCCAGCACCGAGGGAGACCGGTGCTGGAAAGAGATAAGTGGATGAAGGGGTTTTAACCCCTTCAGCCCAGCGGGAGGGGGGCCCTGAGGGTGGGGGGGGGACCTAATGACCCTATTGTGCCAGGAAAACAAGTTTGTTTTCCTGGCACTATAGTGGTCCTTTAAGGGGTTAAAGACGTGCGGGTTATCCTCTCTGGTGCTCATCATATGGGTGATTGGTTTTGTATGTATGAAACTCACCCTTACTCCTTCCTCCCCAACCTCAATTCCTCAAATTCCTCTTTCAGGGGGGGGGGTGAGGGCATATTCTACTGTCTACATCTACATTCTAACTAGTCTATCATTTCTTATCTTTATTTATTTACTATTTTTCTATGCCTTTTTTGACTACATTGATTCAACTACGTTGATGAAATCCCAAATGAACTATTCAAACTTCTGCAAGATGATGGTGTGAAATTTCTGCTTGCCTTATGCCAACAAATTTGGAAAACTTAACAGTGGCTAAAAGACTGGAAAAGGTCAGTCTACATCCCAATCCCCCAAAAAAAGGCAATCCCAAAGAGTGCTCCAATTATCAAACAATTGCACTAATTTCACATGCCAGTAAGGTAATGCTTAAAATCCTACAAGCTCGACTCAAACAATATATGGACCGGGAATTACCAGATGTACAAGCTGGGTTCCGCAGAGGACGAGGCACAAGAGATCAAATTGCCAATGTACGATGGATAATAGAGAAAGTAAAAGAGTTCCAGAAAAACATCTACTACTGCTTCATAGACTATTCTAAAGCATTTGACTTTGTGGATCACAACAACATGTGGCAAGTTCTTAAAGAAATGGGAGTACCAGATCATCTCATCCGCCTCCTGAGGAATCTATATGTGGACCAAGAAGCCACAGTCAGAACAGAATGGTTCAAGATCGGGAAAGGAGTGTAACAAGATTGTATATTGTCACCTTATTTACTCAACTTATAGGCAGAATACATAATGCGTAAGGCTGGGCTGGATGAATCCAAAGCCGGAATCAATATTGCTGGAAGAAATATCAACAACCTCAGATACGTGGATGATACTACTCTGATGGCTGAAAGTGGACCTGTGCAAAAGCTGGCTTGCTGCTCAACGTTAAAAAGACTAAGATCATGGCAAACAGAAATCTCAGTTCTTGGCAAATAGATGGGGAAGAAGTGGAGGCAGTGACAGATTTTATTTTCCTGGGATCCAAGAACTCTTCAGATGGTGACTGTAGTCATGAAACTATAAGACGTTTGCTTCTGGGGAGGAAAGCTATGGCAAGCTTGGACAAGCTGGTAAAAACTAAAGATATTACACTATCAACAAAGGTCTGCATAGTCAGAACTATGGTATTCCCAGTAGTAACATATGGATGTGGGAGCTGTACTATAAAGAAGGCTGAGCGTCATAGAATTGATGCCTTTAAACTGTGGTGTTGGCGAAAACTGCTTAGAATCCCCTGGATTGTAAGAAGATCCAATAAATCCGTACTACAGGAAATCAAGACAACCTGTTCACTGGAAGCTGATGATGATCAAGGGGCTGAAACTCAAATATTTTGGTCATATAATGAGAAGGCAGGATTCTCTAGAGAAAGATTGAAGGCACACGAAGAAGAGGACGACAGAGACGGAGATGATTATATGAGGTCACTGAAGCCACGAACATGAAGTTGTTGGAGCTCAGAGGGGCAGTGACTGACAGATGTACCTGGCGTGCTATGGTCCATATGGTCACGGAGAGTTGGACACGACTGAACGACTAAACAACAACAACCACTACTGCTTTTGTCTTTAAATAAGACTCACCATGGATGTTGGTGGTTTTGTTCTTTCTTTTGTGCATTTCTATGAAAACCTAAAGAAAAAAAAATGGGAAGAATGTCGAGCCTGAGACATGGCGTAAATGTGTTTTTGTTTTTTTTAGGTTTTAGAATGGCATAGAGATTCAAATTATACAATTGTATTGCATTTTAGACACTTATTAATGTAACATCTTTAATGTAAGATTTATTCTGTATTCTATGACTTCTTTGAATAAAAACTATTTCAATGAAATGGTGTTATTTTTTTCTTAAACTTATGAAAAGTACCCATAAAATAAAAAGTTGGAGTTGATTTACTAGAACTTAGCACAATTTATTTTCTGGTTTCGAAGCAAATTTACACCAGAATGATTTATACTAAATAGTTTATCTATCTAGCTATGATGCCAGGAAAAAAGGCTTCTGGACAGAGTAAAACTGCTCCACAGGAAACAATGGAAAACCCTAACACCATTTCAAATGTATAGTTGGTTTTGAGGTGTTCCAGGAGTTAGGAATATACCCTTTTTTTTTACAAGGAGTCCCATGTAATGTGTGCAATGATGGGTGGTTCATTATTATGGGTGAGAGATGATTGACTCCCTCGTTACATGTTGGATTCTCATGGTGAAGATGTTTTGCTATTTGCGGCTGTAACTTGAAACTCTCTTATTTTCACTTATTTTCAAACTTTGCACTTAGTCATGGAAAAACAAACAATGAATGTAAACAGATGCACGCAAACGAACGCTGTAATCGTAAATATCACTGATCTTTTTTTGACTTCCAAGCAGAACTCTCTATTTTTCAGATATGTAGAAGTTTTCTCCCATTTAGAAAACAGACCTGCTAAATGTCTAACTTTTAGTTTGTATGCATCTATAAAACAGTAGTATTCTGACATGAAGTCAATGTTGACGGTAAAGGGTGTTCAGTGGTTTTTATTGGACTGGTCTACAATAATATTGATGGGTGCATTAGGAAGCGCTGTACACTTAGCAGAGAACGTACAATATACACAGACAAATACAAAATACACAAGAGAGCTGAGATCTAGCCATTGAAGCTGTTTTATACAAAGTGCTTAGCTAGTACCCGTGAGCTTACATTCTAAAGAGATGAATCCTTTTCTTTTTCATATTTTTTAGATAACTAAAGGCAGCCATTATTCATTCATAAAAAAAAAGAAAGAAGTAAGAGTTTTCTTTCTGTGGTTCTAAAAATACCATCGGGTATGCATTACACACCAATGTGTGTATTTAGTGACATGTTTCTTGAGTCCTTTATTGTCCTTGTACCAATCTCAGTATGACAGGACAAAAAAAAAATGATGATGCAAATAGGTAGCCGGTTTACAGAACTTCATCTAATGAGTTTACAATTGATATTAGTTCTGGGCTCTTAGCTCAATTATGCACCCACGTGTGTGACAAACACTTTGGCACAGATACTGCTAACGGTAATCAGCTTGATCTATGACTCATGTATAAAGTAATGATACGGAAGCATTCAATAGTAAAAGATTCATGGTACAAGTACAGCTGCTTGTCCATAGATATAGATATAGATATTGATGCCATAGAAGCAGGGCCGGCCCAATGGCATTGTGCTGCCTGGGTCCATAGGTGAAATGCTGCCCACCCCCCCAAAAAAAACACGCTCTCCAAAACATGCTTACATCCATTAATTTATGAAGTGTGTATTTAATTAAGTGTCTGAGCTTGTGTATTGTATGCAGAGTGTGTAATGGATGCAGTGTGTGTAGTGCTAGCATGGTCAATGCTTGTGTCGCGATTGCAGTGTGTTTGTGTGTGTGTGTAGTAGATGCAATGTGTTTGTTTTGTGTAGTGGACACAATGTCTGTGTGTGTAGTGGATGCAGTGTGTGTTTGTGCAGTGGATGCAGTGTCTGTGTTTGTGTAGTGGAGGCAGCGTGTGTTTGTGCAGTGGATGTAGAGTCTGTGTTTGTGTAGTGGATGTAGCGTGTGTCTGTGTAGTGGATGCAATGTGTGTCGATTTATAAAGAAGACTGGACAACTGGAACTCCATACCGATTGAAAAAGCCAACATGGTGAAAACCGTCTTGGGACCACCCACGGGATCGAAGTTTGAAAATTTGTTATTATTTGTTATTTTATATTATATATGTTTTTATCACAATAAAATCTATTCTTCAACCATACCTTTTTCTGTGGACTCCAGAACCAGGTGCTCCAGTCACATAAAGAAGGGTTTGTGTCCCCTATTTGACACACAAGCTACTATACTTAGAGCCAGGTTTAAAGGCTATAATTGAGGTGAGCAGTTTTACTTATTAATTCCATTCACCTATATTTTTCAACATACTACACCAGATACCGGTTTGTATCATTTTACTAGAGGGTAAATCAGGATATATCATCTAGAGCAGGGATAGGCAACCTTTGGCACTCCAGATGTTGTGGACTACATCCCCCATAATGCTTTTACACCCATAATGCTGACAACGCATCATGGGAGGTGTAGAACAAAACATCTGGAGTGCCGAAGGTTGCCTATGCCTGATCTAGAGGATTCGTGATCCTAAATACACGCCTGCCAGAGTGATCTTAACCTGTCCTCAGAATCATGTGAGTGAACCCAATCATTAACTATTTTCACTTTTACCTACTTTGACATACTACACTATTTGCAATTTCCCCCTCAGGTTCCCAAAAGTTCTGGGGGATGAGTTATTTGATTCTGAGTGCTCTACCTTTTAACTGGGGTCGGTTTTTACACCACACAGTTAATACCATTTTACTATTTATCTGTGCTAAGGAGTGAGAGAATTGCACACTGGTGGTAGCAGCACAGATTTTTTCACTTTTGTATCATTACTGCTATAAGCGCCTATATACACAAACTTACTACTATTGTATATAAAGACTGCAGTGTTACAAGGTCAGGTAGACAGAGCATTGGTAAAAACGGGTAAATATAACCATTTGCTCTGACTTAAAGAGCACTATAGTGCCAGGAAAAAAACTTAAACCAGCGCCGGGCTCCCTTGGCGCTGGTGATCTCTCCTCCCCCTGCCGTCGTCAGCTCCGAATACGCATGCGCAGTAAGAGCCACGCGCGCATTAAAACCGCCCATAGGAAAGCATTACTCAATGCTTTTCTATGGACATCAGCGTCATCTCAGTGTAATTTTCACAGTGAGAATCGCGGAAGTGGCCTCTAGATTAACCCTCAATGAAAACATAGCAGTGTCTCTGAAACAGCTATGTTTTCAGCTACAGGGGTAAAACTAGGGAGACCTGGCACCCAGACAACTTCATTGAGCTGAAGTGGTTTGGGTGCCTATAGTGGTCCTACATAGTGCTTGTATATCATCATTTTTAGGATACACAATTTCTAAATTCACTTGGCCTGGGCTAATCTGCAGTATGTGAATTCATATTTATTTATTTATAAAATATTTTACGAGGATGGATACATTTAGATTTCTCTCGTTTTCAACTATGTCCTGGGTCCACAAAACAAATTTCGCATAGAACAGGTAAGAAATATAAAATAAACCATGACAGGTGCATTCTGTTTTGAGGTATGTAGAGAGGGATCTTTTGAAGGATTTTAAGCTGGGGGAAGATTTGAAAGTGTGCGGGAGGTCGTTCCACAATTGCGGTGCTCTGTAGGAGAAGGAGGATCGGGCCGTTTTCTTTTTGTATTGAGGTAGACTAAGTAAAGTGTTGGTACTGGATCGGAGCTTATAGGAAGTGGGAACAGCTGGGGAAAGCATTTTTTTCAGGTAGGGTGGTAGCTTCCCAAAAAAAGCTCTTAAGCACAAGGCTGGAAAGATGAAGGGTGCGTCTGGATTCCAGCGACAGCCAGTTTAGTTCTTTTAACATGTCACAATGGTGGGTCCTGTAATTACATTGTAGCACAAATCGGCAGGACGAGTTATACAATGTATTAAGTTTATTAATGTGGGTTTGCGGTGCAGACGCATATACTACATCCCCATAATCAATGATTGGCATCAGCATTTGCTGTACAATCTTTTCCTTTGCTGTAGGGCTCAGGCAGAATTTGTTTCTGTACAGGGCACCTAGTTTTGGATAAAGTTTAGATGCAAGTTTTTCTATGTGGAGGCCA